GTGTGTGTGTGTGTGTGTGTGTAAGTAACAGTAGCTAGATTGTAACTGATCTATTTGACCAGAAACCTCTCTTAGAGGTGACCGCCACGTGCACTCAGTGCACTATGAAACACACACACACACACACACACACTCACAGCTCTGTGTGCGCTGAACACTCACCACCAGTCGGTGATAAAGATTTCCTCCTTGGCTTCTTCGAGAGCATTGGCCACATCCTCCATGTATGTTTTCCCGTTCACGTACCTTCAGAAGAACCACAAACATACCCACAAATTACACTTCAATCATCACCTTCTCAAAATGGGAAAATCAGTCCAAAACTGTTTTTTTTTTAAATTTCATATTAAAAAGTACAAAAAAAAGAAATAATCGAAGGAGCACAAGACAAGACGTCCATGAAATCTGTTTTTTTTCCCCCATTCAACACTTTGTTTATTTTCTTTCCTACTGTGAACAACAACACAGAAGGCATCAGAACTAGTTCACCACATATAAAATTATAAAATATTCTGGATTCTTTTATTTTGAAGGTGTGCCCTTCATAAACTGAATTGTCCTTCCCTTACTTTGCACTCCAACTCATTCCAAACTGTCTCAGCTGATTTTAACCTGGGGGATTATGAGTTATGAGTCGAGCCTGGAGGGGTTTCTAATCAGGGTCCTGATGAAGGGTCCCACTTATCTATAACCTGACTGGTCATCATGTTGCTGTAGGACAGGGGTGGGCAACTCCAGGCCTCGACGGCCGGTGTCCTGCAGGTTTTAGATATCAGCCTGGGTCAGCACACCTGAATCAAATGATTAGTTCATTATCCGGCCTCTGGAGAACTTCAAGACATGTTGAAGAGGTCATTTAGCCATTTAGATCAGCTGTGTGGGATCAAGGACACATCTAAAACCTGCAGGACGCCGGCCCTCGAGGCCTGGAGTTCCCCACCCCTGCTGTAGGATGTTGTGGAAGCCATGCATGCTGAATTAAACTGCAACACTATCCTCACATCTCCTCCTGCATGCAATTACCATCTGTCCACCTTCTCTGACAAAGACACAGCTGCGGAGGTTGTGATGTGTCTGCTGCTTTAACTCGCTGAGATTGACTCTTATTTAAGTTGCTTTTATTTCTATTTGACTCGTGAGTGGAGTGCTAACTTTTTTATTTATGTAGGAGGAGTGAATCAGGGGCAGAGTAGGAATGGAGCTTTTTCTTGTGCTATTTGAATTATAACCTGCGACGTAGCCTGACGTGCACTTCTTGCCCTCCCTCCTCTTTGTTCCCTCTCCCTGTCACACCCTTCCTCATGTCCTTCCTCCACCTTCACTTCTTCGTTTTTTCTCTCTCTCGTGCACCAGGTGGGAAAACTTGCTCCCATTCTGTTAAACAGAAGACAGAGCAATCAGCGTGTTCTCATCCCTCCTCAAGCCCAGCTGTTCCAGCTTTCCCTGACCTTTGATCCTGTCTAAGAGACAAAACAGTTTCTGCAGGAGGCTGTAAACATGTTTACTTCTGCTGTAAAATTAGGCATTTTAACATGTGAGTCTGTAGGGAACTGACTCACTTTTGAAGCCAGCCCCAGTGGACATTAGAGGACCTGCAGTTATTGGAACTTGAGCACTAGGTTCATTTTTCAGCCTCCGAGGTTTCAGCTTTAGCCGTCCTCTGGTTTCATGTCAGTGTTTGATGCTTTTTGCTCTTGTTTGGACAGAAAGAAAAATGAAACGAACACTTCTCCTCTCACTTTCAATCTGTCCATTGCCTGTTGAATCCTTATGCTCTTGACAGCAGGCACACACTCACTCACAGTGTGTCTCACAGATGGTATAGGGTTCCCCAGCGGGAGGACAGGTGATGAGCAGGTGAGTCTCACTTTCCCTTGCTTTGTGTCGGGTTACTCCAGCGCGAGACACACATTTGTGCATCTACCTTGTGAGGATTGCCTCTTACATAATGCTTTTTCTTTGTGTAACCTCGCAGCTACAGTCTTTAAATCTCTAAAAGTGGCTCATCACTTTCTATAAATGTCCTCATGTTTAAAGTCTAAACCTCAAAGCAGTTCCCACAAAGGCAGAAGTACACAAACACACACTAACCTGCACACTGTGCCAGCTGGACCGGGTATCGTCTAGACTTTTTTTTAAAGTGATCCTGGGTCTGGTGATTGGCACTAAAGTGCTTCAGTTTAAGGTTAAGAGGAAGATGTGAGGCTGTTTTTTACTGCTTGTTAATAAATAAAAGCTCAGTTCATACACAGATCAGCTCGTATCCATGAGTTTTAAGTTGCCTGAAGCATCAGCGTCACAGCAGTGAAGAAAAAACTGACCTGTATCCACATCTTGTTCGCTTGCTTTTATGGAAACTGTACTGTAATGCTTTATAATGGCAGTGGATTTTACCCGCTGTTATCCAGAAGTTCAGTTTAAATGGTGATGTGTTCACTTGCAGCTGAACTTTGCAGCCTTCACTCACTCTTTCACTTGAGAGCATCATTAAATAGCATTTTAACAGCTCTGCATTCACTTTCTGTAGCAGGCGCTGAGAGCTTTCCAGTCATGATGCATTTACCTATTGCAGCAGAATAGTGATGTGTGTTTTGGAGGTATCCATTACTGAGGTTATATTGTTTTGCTGCTTTTAAACTGAAGTAAACACAGAACAACAAAGAACTGAAATAAAGAAATCGTCTGAGAGTCTGTCAACAGGATCGGCCCGATGCACAGTCCACAAATGTAGATCGGTGTATCCCTAACTCGGTCTAATGTGACTCAGGAACTGAAACTACTTTGACTAGAAGTGATCTGAATGTTAAATAACAAGTTTTAAGATGTCAAATGTGAGTGTAACTACAGCAGAAAGAGTAAGTGTGGTTACCATTTGGCAGGGATGTTCACTTCCACTCTAGCGAAAGATCCAAAGCGGTGATCTTTGAGGAAGGCTGAGCCATACTTCTGGACAAAGCCTTCAATGGACTGACCCCACCAGCGGGCATGTCTGTAGCTGTTGCACTTGAGCACCAATGACCTGCACAAACACTACTTCAGTTTCTGATTTTCTTCAAGCCTTAAAATATTGAACATAAGCAGTAAAAATAGCCATCGCAGACCTGGAGAGACTGTCCACACGGACGCCGTGTTTGGTATCCGTGTCCTTGGAGTCCATCTTGATGCCAAACTCTTTGTCAAACAGCATTACAAAGGAGATGGCGCCTGAATCCATCTTCATGTACAGCAGAAACGAGTCCTTCACCACACACACACACACACACACACACACAGGCAGTATTTTAAGTAAAAGTTTTTTATTGTCATATACTTCCTTAAACACCATTTGGCTTATGTAAACATAATGGCTCCCCTTTAAAATTAAAATAAATGCATAAATAAAGAAAGCTGACGAGCTTCTTAGATTCAAAATGTTTATCTGTTATGATGGATCACGGCATTTTAAAAAGGTTAAATACCCCATTTGGCGTGCCACATATTTAACTGGTTAAACTGGTTAAATGTCAACTCTTCCTACATGTAATGAACCAAGCAGGATGGTTCAGGAAACCCCCTATGAAGCGCAACAAATACACGGAGCAATGTTTCTAATATTCTTATAACCTTCTGTTCACCATTTCACACCCAGGGGTTCATGCAATTAGTTCCTATCCTTGCGTGATTGAGTGTGGATTTGCATTTAACTTATGATGCACATCCTGGGAATAAGATGAAGGATTTAAATAAAAAGAATCAAAGGTGAATTCTACTGTTTGCTAAAGAAAATGAATCTAAAGCTAAATGGAAAGAACTTTACTGTTTTTGAGTCAGTCAGCTGTGGCAACACTGACGATCCTAATCAAGGTTTCCTCTTGTTGTTTAGTGGACTTACCTTTTAACCCTTCTTTCCTGCCATTAATAAGAGGCTCTGTTAAAATGACGTGTCAGCATTTTACTCCGTATCCAAGGCATTAACGATTCTGAACTGCAGTTGTACAATTTGCAGACCGTTACAGTGATTTTAACACTAATTTCAAGTATAAATCTAAGGAAGGTTTGTACAGATAAGGTTCCAGATAAGATAGCATAACATAAAACATTGCTTTAAATGCTTTATATTTAAATCTCATCTTCAGGACGTTTGTTTTGTCAGCTACATAGATAGATTCAAATGGTTTTCTTAAATCGAGTACTAACTTTTCACTTCAGAACCCCCAAGAATTGAACCCTTTCCTCAGATTAAACAGCCAATAAATACAGCATTGCATCTTCTGCATAGACGAGGTGATGCACCGGTAAGATGTCTCTAAGCTTCCCCGTCATTTCCTGTTTTACCCAAGCTGCTGTGTATTTGTGACATATCACAAGCTCACATTGACCAAGACTATTAAGGCTAAGCAAACATCCTGTAAGAATCCTGATTATTTACTGACCGTTTGGACCAGCGGTAGCACATTCTGCTGCGACCACAGCAGTTCATGCCGGGGATCCGATGGCCGCCGGATCTCTTCAGCACCATTCCCTCTCTAAAAGACAAAAGGACAGTTCATAATATAGAAAAATACTTAGAAAGGACTGGTTAGGAGAACCTTATTATACAAAGCAAGACAAGATTAAATATTTTGCCATCAACTTTAACCCCTTAGCAGTCCAATTAGTCCCCTAAACCATCCAATGTCCCGTGGGCGGTACGTCCGACTGCTAAGGGGTTAACCTGCACTCCCCACCTACACCATCTTTGAGTAGTAATTTCAGAATTTCACTGGATATATTTCTTAAAGTGCAAGATTTCAGTGAAAAATTGACACATTGATAACAAATGATTCTTACAGTCCTTTTGGTCCCAGGTCGTGAATGAAAGACAATTGACTAACATCAATGAACTCCATCTGAAAATCAAGCAAAAATATTTATAAACTCACTTTCAGAAGATTGTTGTCTACTTATCATCTTCTAAGTTGACCTGAAAAGGTCGTCAGTGTTTTCCAAAATATATTGAAACCTTTCAAGGTTAACTGTTATGCTTTTCTCTATTATGTACAGTGTTACTACAGTGGATGTTCATATTAAGCATTGCCAAAGTTTTTAAAAATGAAGCTCGGATTCCAGAATACTCTAAACACTCAGTTTCTTTCTCTCTTTTTTAACCCGGTCATGTTAGATAAAGAAGCCCTGCCCACTTCTTACTTAAACCTGTTTGCAAGATGTAGCCAATCAGAAGTTGGCTTAGAGGGGGTTGGACCTAAAACTGAGGGGCCAAGTTTAAGGTAAGAAGGATTATTTGGAACTGTGAATTATGCAAAGTGACTCTGATAGAATCCAAAAACAAAAACATGGAGCTGAAAATGAGCAGAATGTAGTTACTTTGTAACTTTTGTGTCCTTACCGTAGCGTGGTAGTTCCTATACATCTGCATCGCTAGCACAGTATTCAAGTAATCTTCCAGTTGTTTCTAGATCAAGGAAACAATGAGAAATATTCAGTACAATTTAATATACGTAGTACATAAATCTGGTACCATAAAATTAAATATCGGCCATCAGGAGCAATTTACCCTTCGACTGGAAACTCCTCTGTCCAGTTCGCCATCGCCTCCTCTGGGGAGTTCTGGGATCTGGCTCACCTCACTCCTCAACGGTATGTTCCTCTTCACCGTGTGACTGCAGAGAGAGAAATAAAATAAAGTTTTGTTAGGAGGCTGTGTGTTCAAATCCAAGAACATGCAGTGGAAATACAGGCAGGGAAAATGAGCTCTGCAAAGCACAGTGAAGATAAAATATGAACTGTGAATAGGCACAGGAGGCACTGAGGTACCTGCGTGGAAGTGGAATCTTCATGAAGGTCTTGTATGTTCTCAGTTCTCTGTGGAGATCGATGAAGTGCTTCTCCTTCCTCTTCACCAACCATGTAAACTCTCCATGTTTCATCTCAATTTTATACACAGCTGGCATTGACTGCACACACAGCAGGGCCTCCAGTTATTTACATTCAGTGTTTATCATTTCAAAAAGCTCATCAAATAAATGGGATTAAAATAAAGTTTGGGATTTAGTCTTGAATTTTGACATCATTTCTTTTGTTTCTGGTTGATAAACTGCCAACTTTTACTACGTTGTTGGAATCTTTAAGTAATCGAGTTACCTGGTTTTCCTAAGCAGCTAAAAGTTTCCCTGGAACTGGAATAATGACTTCTTCTGCTTTATCCATGACTGTAGATGCCATCTCAGCTGCTGCTACACCCAACCTCAGCTACATCAAGTTACTAAAATGGACCTTTTCAGTGCATTTTTACTGCTGGTGCTTTTAAGAGCATTTTAATGGACAGATATTGTGCCTTGTTGGGAGGTAAAAACCATCACCTATGTTACAGTATTGGTAAGTAAAACTCTGGTACCCAGTTTCTTGCTTAGCCCTAATCAGCAGGTATCTGTGTCTGTGTTGCATCCACACAATATACAGATGCAGCTTGCTAACCATCAAGCTGCAACTTAGCACCCCATCCTCTTCTACAAATATAGTCCCTTCTGGCTCAAACTGTGACGTCACAGTGGCTACCTCCATGCTTCATGTATAGTGTACGGCTAAATGCATTTTCTTCCCTACAGTGACAAAAAGCTCTTCACCTTGTTGACGCTCCTCTGCGTGGTGAGGTTGAAGCGGTCCTGAACTGAGGTGAAACGCTCCACCTCCAGGATTTTGACAGTGATGGGAGAGGAAAGGTAGACTTTGGCCTCTGTCTCCTTGAAACCCACTGTGTTGTAAATCTCTTTAAAAGGCAAACCCTCTGCTATTGAAAAAATATAAACAGTTACACAAACAAATCGCTTACACAACAAGTAGAGAAACACCTGCACAGAGTGCAAAGTGATGGCAGGTACCAGGTGCATTGGTGTCTGTCGTGTCATAATCTCCATCGCCTAAATCGAGATCGCGGGTGTCCAGATTGTCCATGATGTCGCTCATATCACTGGCAACCAGCTGCAGGGTGCTGGACGATGGCTCAATCTGCTGCAGCATGGCTAGCACTCAGTCTGGAGCCCGGGGCTCACCTGGTAGGTAATGTGGGAATATGGTGGTTAAGTCAAAGGTAAGGAACAAAACTGGATGTGGTCATCTAGAGTAAAACAGATCAGAATGTGCCAATTAAACTTTTAGATTTTAAAAGCAACCGTCTCTGTGGATAAAACTAGCTCTAAGAATCCTGTTCTGATGTGTTTTTAAAACTCTTTATCTGACATTAATTGCTTATTACAGACGTCAGGTTCAGTTGCTGTGGGGGAAAAATAATCAGGAAGCCTTGAGTCTGGTCTAAACCAACAGAGAAACATTTGATCTCAGAGTCAACATGTAACCACTCGCTGCTTGTGCACTGAAAAGAAATGTCAGGGTATCATTAACGGCAGCACAGCGACCAACATCAGAGCGCTCTAAACCCATTACAGTTCCTGTCTGACGGTCAGTTCAGTTCATTAAATGGATCATTTCATGTTGCCTGAAAAGGATTTCAGGTGAATTTCTTAATTGGAATTATGCAAAATTCCCGGTCCACATCCCAAATTCTAGATGAGTCATCCAGCCAACATGACAAGCTCACTGGTGTGTTTCACCCACGCACAGCATTTCTCTTCACATTCATGTTTCTGGGTCAGTTTGTGTGAAAATCCTCTCCAGTGAATCCTCTTCATTCATGAGTGCACACGTGAACACCACTGACCCCTTTTTGTTTGTTTTTCCTTTTTTTCCCCAACTCTTGCTCCGCATGCTAACACATACAATTGTACAGGGGACTATGTGCTTCCTGTGCTTCTCCTCTGTTAATCCTGATCTTTGGATTAGTGTCTTATGTGAGGTTAACTGCCGCTGCGGGAGAATAAAGGAGGAGGAGAATGGACCGGTAGGCTGTAGTACAAGAAAGGGGATTAAAGAGGAATCCAGGAAAAGAAAAGATGTGTATAGAGGTTAAAAAATGGATAAGAGCGCTTATAAGAAAGCACGAGAAAAGGTTTCTGAAGTAAAGCAATGCTTTACCGTGTGGCAATCCTGAAATCCTGACTGACATCACTGATATAAACATCCACATTATCATATCCAGGTTCCATCTATCTGCCGTTTGGAGCTGAGTAAAGCCCACTTAGATTAAAGTTGTAATGTTTAAAGATCTTTCAGGTGAAGTGTGAACTTTATTTTATCAGGTGATCAGCCTGTGGTCAGAGGATTGTTCCACAGTCTTGATACATGCTCAATTATCCAGGGAAGGACATCCCGAAAAGTTGATTCTGTGCATTTGGATGTAATGCTACGTCCAGATGAACAGAATCAACCTTTTGGGATTGTCCCACAGATTTTTCTGCAAACATTTTAGCAATGATGACAGATTAACTGTTGGGTTTAGGTCACACGAATCAAAATCAGATATTTTCTCTCTTTTAGCTCAACTTTTGGTCTCCACCACATCCTCAGGCTGAACACTGACTCACCAACTCATGTTCCAACTGTGTCTGCTTGCTGCCTAAAATGAGATTTGTTCAATAAGAATGAAAAATAGTATCGTTGTGGGCTATAAAACTCAAACATTGAACTGAAAGATGCTGTAAATCTTTCAGCATGCTGTAATTCTATAAATATCTTGATGTGTGCTGAATTGTATACAGTTTTCATGTGAGCAAATAAGAATTAAACACTAGTTGACATTGACCTCCAGAACCACCACAGGAGCCCGTAATGAATTCTCACAGTCTCCATAGTTTTTAATATACCCAGCACCTTGCTTTACTATGATACATATGGCATCCATCCATTTTCTGATGCTTAATGGGTCCAGGTTTTGGAGGCAGCAGTCCAAGCAGAGATGCCAAGACCTCCCTATTACCAGCCCCTCCTCCAGCTCTTCCAGGCGCGGGGGGGGAGGGAGGAGGAGGCAGAGGTGTTCCCAAGGCAGCAGAGAAACATGATCTCCCCGTGTGTTCTGGGTCTGCCCCGGTGCCTCCTGAAATAACAAGGTGGTGTCCCGGACACATCTTAGTCAGACGGCGAAAACGGGCTCAAAAAACTCAAGTTAGCTCTTTATATGCTTTCATTGATTTATCATCTTGATGCATTCTCAATCATCCAGGAATCTCCAAAAGTTGATTCTGTTCATCTGGACGTAGCGTTCGGTGGGAGAAACGTTTCGTCACTCATCCAAGTGACTTCTTCAGTCTCAGCTGACTGCAGGTTTCCCCAAATATTATAAACACTACATTTGCATAATGACTGAAACCAGCCCACTGAGGGAACAATGGGCTGGGGGGTCAGTTCCTTAATCATAATTATGCAAATTCTCATGACCATTGATCAACAATCACTGACCAAAACCCACTGATCAATGGCCATGAGTACCATTCACAGAGAGTTGGGGAATGGCTGCAATCACAGCATTGTAAGATGGCGAAAGATGTACCCTTAGGCTCCCTCCTTGATCAGAGATGGTCTTTCCCTTTTAATGTAAATGGCCTCCTTGACTCCGCCCTCAAACCAGCGTTCCTCCCTGTCCAGGATGTGTACATCCTCATCCTTGAGTGTCCACTGGCCTGTAGGTGTGAATAGACTGCAGAGTCCTGGCCTGACGAGGTAGCTCTTCTGTGTTGTGCCATCCGCTTCGCCAGAGGTTGTTTGGTTTCCCCGATGTATAAATCCTGGCAATTCTCCTGGTACTTAACAGAGTAACAGAGTTTTTGGCGCAGCGTGTTTTGGGGTTTAAAAGCCACAGAGACCCGGTGTTTGCATAATTATGATTAAGGAACTGACCTCCCGGTCCATTGTTCCCTCAGTGGGCTGGTTTAAGTCATTATGCAAATGTACTGTTTATAAGGTTGGGGAAACCTGCAGTCAGCTGAGACTGAAGAAGTCACTTGGATGAGTGACGAAACGTTTCTCCCACAGAACGCTGCGTCCAGATGAACAGAATCAACTTTTTGGAGATTCATTGATTTATATTTTCCTGTTTTCTCAGCATGAATAGTCGTCTCTGTGGTGGCCCTGTGACAGGCTACAGACGTGCCCAGGGTGCAGCCAACCTCTCACCCTGTTAAATGTGGCTGTTAAATAGATAACTTGAAGAAAATGGACGGCTTGATTTACTGTCCATCATTTTTATTGATCATCCTGAACCAGCTTCTACTTCAAACTCAATGCTGTACGTCATTACATTTTGTGGGCATCTCCAGGGTGATGCAGAGGAGGCTTAAAAGCAGGAAATAACTACACAGCTTCCTTGTTTTTAATGTGTTTTAATGGACAAGTTTGACGCCGACTCATCTGAAATAAGGTCTGGGGTTAAGACGAGCTTAAAAATATGAAGCTTAAGTAAAAATCTCAGCTGTCAATTATGAAGCTTTTATATTGTGAGACATTTTCAGTGTCATCACGCTAAAAATAGGAAGTTATTCGTGGTTATGCTGACATCATGCGGTGTAGTTTATAGTTTAACGTTAGTGCTTTGCTTTTAGGAAGATCTCAGTTAAGTTGCAAATAATATGTTACTGATAAACTTCTTTATTATTGCAAAAAAGGTATTTTCTTTCAATCAAAGGAACCAAGGCAATGCTAACCAACTTCCTGGCTGGCCTTCAAACAAAAAAAAACCCAAAAAAACCCCGAAACAAAACATTAAATAAACTGCAAAGAATTCCGGGTCCATGATTTCCTTCTTTTTTCTTTCTTCTCTTTTCTCTGTTCATAAACAACAATTTTAACAGTCAAATCTAACAAAGATTGATCTTAGATTTACGATATGTTTATTAATTGGATACCTTCAGATTGCAGAGGACTTCCTCTTTTAAATTTAACCCAAAGAATGAAAAATATTTTTAATTCACTTTCACCTCATCTCTGCTTATATTTTAACAGAAACATTAAACCAGTGATATCACACATTTAGGTCCGTCAAGGTCTCTGGTGTGAAGCTTATTTGTAAAACTGTCGTCATGTTTGACTAAAAACACGTCTATCTAAAGGTAGCACATTGTAAGAGGCAGCAGAAATACAGTCGATAATAAGATTGTGCTTCATTACTGTTCTCCATTTAAAAAAATAAACCATGCAGGAGTCAGATTTCTGACATTATGATGCAATTCCTGCCGGACAAAGTCTAACAGCTCATTCTTAGGAAGAACATGGGTTATGTTTGGGTTTAGTCAGAACTGGTTTCACTGTGGTCTGTCTGCTTTCACTTCCTGCGCCAACAAAACACCAAGAACAACCACACAAGCAGGAAAACCGCACCCCGCTGAACCCCAAAGAGCATTTCTTTGCTTGCAATGTTTATTCACAGATAAAAAAAATCTGGCTAAATAACCGTTAATCCAACTCTCCCACAGCCACGCAAGCCATCACAGTTTACACACACACACACACACACACACACACACACACACACACACACACACACACACACACACACACACACACA